TGGTAAGGCCTTTCTTCTCCTGGGTCCCCTCCCGGTGGGCCCCATCCGCCGCCCCCCCCCCCACCACCAAAAAAAAGTTTAGAGTACTTGGGAAACCACAGCCCTTATATGTCCTACTACTGCATTGTTATTGTATGTTAAAGGGAACATGAAATCCTCTGACTTAAGGGCATCAACTCTAGCTTAACATTGAATCACCTGAGGATCTTTAAAAAAACAACAAATGCCTAGTCCCATCTCAGACTCACTAACTCAGAATCTCTGAAGGTGGCACGGGGTGGATGTTATTTGGTGGCTGCTAGGAGTTGAGGTTGGTCATTAGAGGAAGCCATGGTGGAGAGCCACGGCTTTGGAAATTGTTCATCCCATGTCTCCAGCACTTGGCACAGGCTCTGATACATTTCAGATGTTCAATTACTGTTTGTGATATTGATGATATTAATAATCCAGCATTAGTATATGTCTAACATTTATAGAAACCTACCCCATATACTAAGGATTATAGATTTATGAAGAATGCCTTTGCCCCAGCCCGGTGGTTCAGTTGATTGGAGTGTCATCCCATACACCAAAAAGGTTGCCAGTTCGATTTTCGGTCAGGACATATATCTAGGTTGTGGGTTCCATCCCCAGTCAGGATGCATTCAGGAGGCAACTGATGGTTCTCTGTCTCTCTTTCTCTTTCTCTCTCTCTCCTTTCTTCCCTCTTTTTTTCTCCCCCTCTCCCTTCCTATCTCTCTAAAATCAGTAAACATATACTGGGGTGAGGATGTTTTTAAAAAATGCCTTTGGTTGCCGAAATAACTTCAGAAGAGCATTCAAGGTGACATTCTACTTTTTTTTTTCTGACAGAGTAAACATTTCTCTCCCCAGTTGGCTTAGACTCCATTTCTTAATCACTTGTTTAAAACGGTCCTGAGGCAGATCTGTACCGTTTCATTTAACATTGGCAAGTCACCACAGCCTCTGCACTTGTATAAATGTGCTGATTTAATTGTTTATCGTTCCACTGATGCTGAACCACCTGCATGTGTCACAGCAAAGGAAGTCAGGTTTAATATTTCAGCTGCTAGTTTCAGCTTCTGGAACTTAAAAATACGAATTTGTGGTTTCTATCCTGATGTATAAGAAAGGGAGAAGTGAGTCAAGAGTGAAAATGGAAAAACTAGATACCTAGTGGTATCATTAGGTATCAAATAGAATGTGAACTTTATAGGATCCGTGAAAGGTTACCTGTTATCAGAATGGTAACTGTTAATGATGTTGTGCAGAAGCAAACATCATTTATGAATATCTATTAAATATCTATTCTTTGGATTTGTCCAAACTGATCAAAAGTGGCATTTTTCTTGACACCAATGAGCAAGATTCTAAAATGACACTTCATTGTCAAAGGATCAAACACAGAGCTTTGTAAATTCTACAACAAAACACCAAAACTAGGTGAAGAACTTATGAATGAGGTAGAAAGAGTTAATGTTCAAAATTAAATGTTATGCTTTGCTTCTATCGCTTTTTTTGAAGGGAGATTAGGTGACAGTGAATTTTTAGGTCTCTTTAAGTAGAGAGTTGAAAATGGGAAGAAAGAGAACAGTAAAAATTTGGGGAGAAGAGGGAGAGAAAAGACACATATAACTCTGTCAAGTATTGAAGCCAGAAATTCATCGCATAAGATTTACTTTTTAAAATATTCACAAGAAATAGATAAGCTCCAACTTGTCTATAAGAATTTCTGACTGAAGATAATATTACAAGTTAATATATTCAACTTTAAGTTTTCTAGGTGGTAATGGAGAAAAAGTACTATGGATAATTGAAATCTGTAGATAACTATAGTTTCAAAACCCAATTTTTTGCCAATAATTTCAACCACATGCCTTCAACCTCAAAACTGCTCAGAAGTTTTAAAATTTTTTGTCAAGTTCAAGTTTCATCTACTTACTCTGCCAATGCTGATATTACCACAGATTTGCATGTAATTAGTAAAAAAAATCATATGGATATTCTAAAAGCTATGCAATTAACCTTTGAATCATTGTGTGATCACTGAAGTTTAACTGAAATTATTCTGTGATGGGCTATAAAACATGTACCTTTAAATTTAAGGCCAGTGTTTCTATACTCAAGATCATAGTGTGAAATTTGGCATTCT